GGCGGTGGCGGCGCAGCGCGCTCTGGCCCGCGGCGCCCCCCGCCGGCCGCGCGGGGCGGGCTCCGAGCGGCGCGCCGCAGCCAATCGGCGCCGCCCGGGGGAGGGGGCGCTGCCTGCGGGGCGTGGGAGCCGGAGGGTGCGGGCTGCGCCTCGCTCTCGCCGCCACAGTCCGCGCAGGTGTGCGCGCCGGGAGCCAGGCGCGCGGTAAGACTGGCTGCGCCGGGTCCTACGGCGAACCCCCCGCCCGCCCAACCCCCACTCTCAGTCCTCAGAGCCGCCCAGGTGCAGGCTTACACTCACTGACCCCGACAGGCCTCAGCCAGGGACAGACACTCCCTGGAAAGGGCCACTCTCGGAGACCAGCGCAGACCCCTGTCACTCGTGCTTTCGCCCAGAGACCCTCGAATCACTAGCACACTCACAATGACATTCACTCTGCAAGAAGGCAGCACAGATGCCATGAGATGCAGAGGCAGACGGCTGGACAGACACACCCAGACTCATTCATAGACGTCTAGACAGACAAATCCATGGACATACACAAGACTCACACAGATACAGCAAAGGACACCCTCAGACTGGCACATGAGGACCACATGGGCAGATACAGCAAAGGACACCCTCAGTTAGGTACATGGGAACCTGCAGACACACTTGGAGCCACAGGCAGGACACCCTTGGCAACCGGCATCCCACCCAAGGGAGATCCTCAGTTCCCACAAAAACTGTGGAAGGTCGGCCAAGCACACACATCCCATGCGCCCACGCTGCCTCACAGACAGAGAATTCCAGCACACAGACATATACACTTGGATGGACACACAGCTCCAGACTCACATGTACACACTCATTGCACCCCCCCCCCTGCTTTGACCACCTCATCATTGCCAAACGTTTGGACAGACACCCATCAGTGGGCATGTGCATACACATGGAGACAACCACACAGACTCAGTCACTCCATGACAGATACATTCTGATGTTCAGACACCCTCAGACTCATAGGACTCTGAGACACACTGCAGCAGGCTCACACTCGCACACTCTCCCACATATGCACCCCCAGTGAGTATAGTTCTCACACCCACACCCACAAGCTCAGACACTCAGGGCCCCAGGACAGAGAGAAGCACAGTGGGAACACCACACTATGCTCCCTGGCCTGACCTAGGACCTGAGGCTCCCCACCCACTCAGCCAGGCCCCTAGGCTCACCTGCCCAGCAGTCCCCACCCATCTTGATGAAGCAGCCTGCTGAGATGCCCTGGGAAAGAACGAGCCCAGCATTTCCATCTCAAGGGTGACGCCATCCTTCTAGGTGGTGCAGAGTGAAACCCTCTATTTCATGGCTCTATTTCCTCATCTGTACAATGGGCACCCCCCATTTTGGATAGTTGTGAGGATTGTGTAAGACAGCATGGACATTAGTTGCTGCACAACCAACTAAATGGCTTTAAAACAACAGCCATTTATTTGCTCACAGTTCTGTGGGTCTCTAGAAACCTGGGCAGCTTCAGCTGCATTTTCCGCTTAGGTTCTCACACAAATTTGGCCAGGCCTGACTCCTATCTGCAGGCTCTGGAGAAGAATCTGCTTCCAAGAGCATTCAGGTTGTGGCAGGATTTGGTTCCTTGTGGTTATAAGACTGAGGTCCCTGTTCCCTTGTGGGTTGTTGGCCAGGAGTCAATCTCAGCTCCTGGAAGTGGTTCGCTGGCTCTTGTACATGGTCCCATCCATCTTCAAGGCCACCATACATATCAAACTCTTCTCATCCTTTGAATCTCCCTGGCTTCCATCTGCTCTCTAGCCCGACAACATGCTTGCTCATAGAGGGCTGTGTGGTTAGATTAGGTCTGTCTGGATAATCACCTTGGATGTATCATGAAACATAATCATGGTGATGATGTCCTATCCTGGTCACAGTTTCTACCCACACTCACATGAGGGGATTATCAAGGGCAGGGATCACCGGGTCATTCTGCCACACACTATGTAAAGCACCTAGCTCAGTACTTGGCACCAGGGGTGCTCTTGAGCTCTTTCCAAGAACCCGACTTAGGCCTTGAGAGCAAGCAGCAGGGTGCATTGGTTAAGAGTGCTTCCCACATGCCATCCTCATCTGCGTAGCTCCATTTTCCTAGTTATTCAGACTACATATCCTCGACTTCTCTCTTATACAGCACATTCAATCCTTCAATAGTTCCTGTTGATTCTACACCCACAGTATATCCAGAAACTGACCACTTCTCTACCCAACACCTCCCATGGCTTCCCTCTCCTTCAGGGTCAAAGTCCAAAAGCTACTTTCTACCCAGTCCTAACTTCATTGCCTCTGCCACCTCTCCATTCTCATCTCCAACACATCCGTGGCTCACTGGGCTCCAGACCCACTAGACTTCCTGTTCCCTCTGCCTCAAACACTCTCCCTTGCAGAGAGCCACAGGGCTCACTCTTATGTTCAAATGTCATCCTTTGTAAAGTAGCAGAATCCCCTCCCTGAAATGCCAAATCCTCCATACCTTGCTGCACTCTCTCCCTGTCTGACACATCCCATATATGGGGGGAGGGGTAATATATGTGCACACATGCCCACATACACCTTTGTGTGTGTGTGTGTGTGTGTGTGTGTATGAGCATTTTTCTTGTTTGTTATTATCTGTCTTTCCCTTCCTCTCCCTGGAGCCTAGGGAGAGAGCCTGGTTAAAAGGTGGTGCTCAATAACTAGCTGTGGATTGGATGAAGAAAACCACCCCAGCTTTGAAGGAGGTAACCTTAGCATCCCTCTCCCATACTCTACAGATGAAGAGCTGAGGCTCACAGAGGGAGACTGGCTTACTCAAGGCCACAGAGGGAAGGGCAGGAGATTGGAGCCTAATTCAAAAGTTTGTCCTTCCCACAGTTCTGCTTGGCCTCCTAAGACCAGGGCAGAGGAGCAGCATGTGGGAGGAGACGTAAGGGCAATAGGGAGGCCAGGGAAGGAGCCATGGAATCTCAGGAGCCCAAGAGGACTGTCCAAGAGACTCCAAGGAGCAGGCAAGGGAGGACTCTGAGGAGCAAACCAAGAGGACTGTCAGTGAGACTCCAAGGGAGCGATCCATCTGGGTGCCCAGCCTAGCAAACCTCAGTGTAGCCCCTGCTGACATCTGCTGGCAAACATGAGAGACACAGAGTCGGAGCTGCTCAGCAGAGCCCTCCCCACACCACTGACCACAGAATAAACAGCTGTCAGGTAACACCGCTAAGTTTGGGGATCATATTTTACGCTACAATGGAATAATGAATTTGAGTGGGTGAATTAATCTCTCCGGGCCTTGGTTCCTTCAATTGTAAAACAGGGATAAAGTCTTACAGTGTGGGCGTCACCATCAAGTGAGTCCATAAACGTGGAGCTCTTAGAACAACACCCAACACAGTAAGTTCTCTGCAAGTGAGAGCCATTACTACGAGAGAACCGCATAGCTCCCCTGCCAGAGCTGTGTGCACAGAGCTAGAAGGAATAGAAATATCATCCATCTCGTCTGGGAGAGAGGGAAACTGGGGCCCCAAGCACAAGGGACTGCCTCAAGCCATGTAGTACATAGGGAGAGAGCTGTTGGCAGAACACAGGTCTCCTGACCTGGGCCTTGCTCTTCCTACTGTGCTCCAGGTCACCTCCTCACCTGGCAAGAATGACTGTGTGAGGTTAGTTGTGCGGAAGAGGAAAAGCAGCCTGAGAAAGCTAAGCGAGCCTTTGGTGGACTGCCTGGGGTGACTCCTTCTCTCTTGGTTAGCACAGGTCTAAAATTCCACCAGGAGTTCAGGCCTGGAAGCGTTAAGGCTTTGATGCCTTTTAAATATGCAGTTTCCCATGGGAAGTTTAAGTGGCCAGCACTTGCACCTGCTGAGGATCATCCATTCTCAGAACAAGCCAGACAGTAGGGGCTGCTTGAGATTGTGGATGGGGAAAAGGCCAATATAGATCCAGGAGAAGGAAGAGATGGGAAATCAAAGACAAACTGCCAGTTTGAGATGGAGATGGCAAAGGTCAGACAGGTCCATCGGAGCTGAAGAAGTATTGCCTGATGAACTTACGTGCACATTCTTATTTTGGCTTATGTGACCTTAGGTATGTCCCTTCAGGGTTCCCGTCAAAAAATAAGAATAATGAACACGAGCTTTGCAAAGTCATGGTGAAGACTAAATGTATGGAGAGTGCTGGCATCTAATAGATACTTACTGGGTACATTCATTGAGTAAAATTTCCAAGTGCCCACTGTGAGCAGTCTCTACTCAACCCTCAGAATGCAGGGATGATCACACAAACCTGGCCTCTGCCTTCACAGTTTAAAGTTTGGCAACATTAGACAAATAATTATGCCAATAATTATTTAATGACATTATCTAATACTTTCATTATAATGATTTTAATTACAATTGTGATAAATGCCACAAAAGATATACAGAGTACCTTATGTTCTTTATAGTGGGTGTGTACCTGCGAGTGGGCGGGGACTTTCACCCAGCCTCCTGACGGAGGAGGGCTCCCTGGGCAGGTGATGTTTAGGCTGGAAATGTTGCCTGCTTTGAGCCTGGTACTGTTCTTGGCCCTGAGGATT